ATCATGTAAATACGAAACCGCAATGAGATATCAACATACTCCAATTAAGCTAGGAGCAATTAGATGAAAGATAACAAACGCTGGTGGGGTGGGAAGGAAGAAGGGCACCCCTGGATGCTGTTAGCAGGCACAGAAGTCAGTGAGGACAGTCACCATGGCAAACATACAATAGGACCCAACCATCTCCATACTGGGCGCATGCCCAAAGCAAATGGAGCCATTCTCTGCAGAAGATGCTCAGGGCAGCACCGCGCACAGGAGCCAAGGAGCCAAGGAACCACCTGTGTCCACAGCCGACAAGGGGACACCTAAACATGGCACATACACAAAGTGGAAACCATTCAGCCACAGAAAACCATGGAAGCTTCCCCTCTGCATCAACATGGATGGAACCGGAGGTCGCTGCGTTAAGGCAGCCAAGTAGAGAGACAAACACTACGTCACTCACCCTCCAGTGGACATGTCAAAGTTGATCTCAGACAAGCCGAGAACATACAGTGGTTACCAGAGGCTGGCAGTGGTATGAGCAAGAAAGGGATGAGAACAGGTTGATCAATCAAGGTAGACAAGCCCAAGAAATTCTGCGGTCCTACTGCGCAGCAGGTGACAAACTAACAATCCGTATTGTATATTTATCTCAAAAACAAAACAAAACCAAAGAAGTTTAATGTTTGCAGGGGTAGATATGTGTAACCTGACCAGACATTACACAATGTAGACATGTATTCAAATGTCATCTGATATTCTAGAAACATGTAAAATATGTATGCATCAGCTAAAAGGTTTTCAATTTTATGAAAGAGGGATAGAATCACAAAATTGGAAGAAGGGAATCAGTTTCCAAACTGGAAAGGGATTATCTATCTATCCATCCATCCATAGATTATGTAGACACAGATCTATCTATACCTACACAGATATAGCCATATTTGGGGGGTAAAGTAGAGCTAAAAGTCAGTTCTCTGAATTGACTAAGACATTTAAAAATTTCAAGTAATTCTATCCTTGAGTGTTTTCCAACTTTTTTTCTATCACAAAAATAAAGCCATGTTCCTGATACGGTATTTACATGTATGTTAAAGAAAGCATGTAATTAGCAAGCACGACCAGGGTTCAATTAACATCTCCTGATTTTGCAAGCAGTATAGTTTCCATTACCATACAGACGCCATCACTTGAAACAGGTACTTTAAAAGTGACTGCAGTGTGTGGAACGGACTGGATAGCACAAGAAACCAGAAGCAAGAAGCTATTATAATCACTGCTCAAACACCACAGGTTCACTATTTTTGACGAGTTGTCAGGGACAAAATATCTGCATTTTTATTACTTAAGTCCAAAATCAAAAGTTTAAACTTCAACGTCTTATTACACAGTCTAAGGCAGTGTCCCCAGTGTCTCATTCATGCGGTGTGCATATACAAGTCAAAGAAGTTACCTTAGGCATCCCCAGATTCCTAAGCACAGTGACCCGTGTCAAGCGCTATATATGCACATGTCTAGCATTTTTTAAAAATTATGTGGTTGTTACTAACACCATATTTATTTATTTTGAATTCAGTTCAGTCAGTTCTTCAACGCATTTTCTTCTGTACAAGCCTCACACTGGTCCAAAAGTTAACTGGATCGTTTTAATAAAACACCCAAAGTTGAGAGCTCTGTGTTAAGCATTATGCTTGCCTTGTCCTCCACTGCTTTCCCAGGCCGTAAGCAGGGAACTGGATGGGAAGTGGAGCATTCAGGACTAGAACCAAAGCCCTTATGGGATCCCAGTGCTTGCAGGTGGAAGATCAATCAATTGAGATATCATGCTGCCCCACCTATAATTTCTACCCATGTAATGGACACTGGCGACCATCAACACTATGTGAAGGGTGATAGCAGATAATTAAGTCCATTCTCTACCCTTAGAGGCTGAATTTCAACCTACAGAACTCTGAAACGCAAATGCTTACAAATCTGAGAAACACAGAAATTTGGGACAGCGCGATAATCCTTCCCTTGCAAGTATCAGCATTCCACTTGCCTACAGGAAATAGGTGCTTTCTTGCCCTCACTCCCTGGTCCTTCCAGCACTTTCTCTGAACTCTGCTGAAGCCCTCCCATGCTTTCATGGTCTCCAGTGCCTCAACCTCTTCGATGACCACAGCTCAGGAACAATCCTGACCGATTCTGCTCCACGTTTACACTGACCTATTCAACCTACAGCTAGTCCCTCTGGAAGGAGGGATAAGCCGATTCAGCTTCCCTGGCTGCCAACCGCCTCTCACAGACTTACCATACCCACCTAAACCTTTACCTCTATCCGTCAGCAACCCTGATTTCCACATTTCTGTTGTATCTTAGAGCAACCCCTGTTTTAACTAAGTTTATCCTCCTCTCCTTTGCAATGTCTTCCTATGATTTTTTATTTTTCTTAATTTTAAAAAAAGATTTATTTTATTTGAAAAGAAGAATTACACAAGGAGAGAAGGTGAGAGAGAGAGAGAGAGAGAGAGAGGTCTCACGCACTGGTTCAGCCCCAAGCAGCGACCACAGCCAGGGCAGGCCGGGCAACTTCTTCCGGCTCCCCCATTTGGGTGCAGGGACCCAAGAATTTGGGCCATCCTCTGGTGACTTCCAAGGTGCGTGAGCAGGGAGTTGGATCAGAAGTGGAACAGCCAGGGTCAGATCTGGGGCAAACACTGGGTGTTGGTACTGCAGGCTGCAGCTTTACCTGCAATGCCAGAGGCGGCCCCCTCTTCTTTTTTCTTAAAAATAACAGAGAGAGAATAAGGTCACTCCCTGAACGCCCTCACTAGGCTGGGGTGGTGTGTTGTTGAGCTGGGACCAACGCCCTGAGACAGGAACTCATTCAGGTCTCCCACTTCACGTCAACAACTCCATGAACTGAGCCATCCATGCTGCTGCCCAAGATCCACGTTCGCAGGAAGCTGGAGCTACTTATGAACCACACAAGATGGACATTTGGTTAACTGCTGGGTTAGGTGCCTTCCCCGGCACCTCCCACAATCTTGCTTGACCCCCTCGACTCATTTCTCCTCACTGATCCCTTATCCTACCAAATGGCACCTTTCAGTTTAGGTGTCAGTGATGGACCACACGGTATTCATAACACAAAACTGTATTTTTTTTCCCTCTTTATAACTAAGTTGTGAACCTGGCATAGCAGCCTAGTGGCTAAAGTTGTTGCCTTGCATGCGCCAGCATCCCCTATGGGCCCCAATTCATATCCTTTCTGCCCCACTTCCCTTCCAGCTCCCTGCTTGTGGCCTGGGAAAGCAGTCGGGCCTGGGACCCTGCACCCATGTGGGAGACCTGGAGGAGGTTTGTGGCACCTGGCTTTGGATTGGCTCAGCTCCAGATATTGCAGCCATTTGAGGAGTGAACCAGTGGTGGGATGATCTTTCTCTCGGTAAATATTTCTAATAAAAATAAAGAAATCTTAAAAACAAACAAAAAAAACTGTAGTGAAGCATTGAGCGATCTTTCATAATCCTTGTAAGAGCCTCTGTAATGCTCTCTGTCCCTTGTCTTAGCTCATTTCACGGTCTGACAGCTTACTGTTAAATGCAATCCTTCATACAGTCATCAGAATCGACTTTTTTTTTTTCCAGAACCTACTTTCTGAAACCAATGTCCCTCCAAAGATCCAAAGTAGCTACTTTAAGCTTTTTTTTTTTTTTACTAAAAACAACAACAACAAGAACAACAACCACAGAAACCTGAATGCTGACAGTAAATCTCCAGGGTCAGGCTGGGGGGCGGTGGGAGTCCAGACACAGACACTTTTCTTCTTAACACCTCGTCACTTGTCCTGTGACTAAAGAGTGGCAGTGTAGAACTGTCCCCAATCACTGTCATTGGTCTGTGTATCAAGTCTGAACATAGCATCACCTTTCGCTTGTGCCGTGTGCACCTGCTGCTTCACTGGTCCTCAAAGTGGGAACTGGGGACTCTGCCGCCATTCCAGGGGATCTGCGAGGAGCACAGCGTCAATCTGCCCATCCATGATGTGTCATGCCCATCCATGCGTGTCATCCCACCTTGCAAACTTACTTGTTGTTACAGTCTGCCATCTTGTAAAGAACATTCAGCCAACCTGACCCAAATTAGCTGTTCGCTTGCTAATTTGTGTATTAGCCAAATAAGCATGTCTTCACAGGGAAGTAACAACGTGAGAGCCGTACACAACCTCAGCACCTTGATTTTTCCCTCTTCAATAGGAGGGCCTAACAAGGCCGAAGCTAGCGGACAACTTACAGGATGACAGGTGGAAAAATATTCATTTTTAATGGCAATCAAGAAATTCAAATGAAGATCAAGTTCATTATAAATACTCGTGCTTTACTGTCCACTGCAGTAACTGACAACTTCCACAAGACACGCATATTGTCAGGGGCCAGCACTATAGCACAGTGGGTGAAGCGCTTGCCCGGGAAGCTACTATTCCATTCGAGTGCCAGCTCCTGCACCACCTGCCACACCACTGATCCAGCCCCCTGCCAGTGTGAGCAAGGAAAGAAGTCCGAGAAGGCCCAAGTCCTCCCCAGGAGACCCAGCAGAGCCAGCCCAGCCATCAGCAGATGAAGATCTATCTCTCTCTCTGAGACTCCACCTTTCAAATAAATGAGATACATATTCCTAAAAAGTTGCTTATGAACTTTTATTAAATGTTATATCCTCTTATTTTCTATTTCTACTCCTAGAAGGACCTATAATAAAAATAGAGGCTTTATGAATATTAACCCAAGTATATGTAATAGCAGACAATCGAATGGTGTAAACATTCAACTCTGGGGAAATGGTTAGGTTATAAATCATCAAGTAAAATATCATATAGCCACCTAAAATTGTTTTTACAAAGCAATAGTGGAAGAAATAGAGAGATTATTAAAATTGAAAGTTAAAAACAAATCAGTAAGGTTGACGTTTGGTCTACATACACTGTAGGACCCCACACCTTCCTATTAGACAGCCTCGGTTCAAAGTCTGCCTCCATTCCTAATCTCATTTCCTGCTAATACGCATTCTGGGGCACAGCAGGCAGGGCTCAGGTAGGTGGTCCCTGGTACCCATGGGGGAGACAGCCCTGGGCTGCTGGTATTCAGGCTGTGAACCAGAATGGACGCTCTGCTTCTCAACAGAAACAAATATCTAAAAAACAAAACAAAACAAAACAACCCTAAAAAGAAATACAAAATTTTGTAATAGGAGGCCAGACAGAATAATACAAAATGTACTGTGCCTGCAATCAAGGCCGCTATGAATTCCCATTTCACTTTCCTAAGTGTAAGGGATTACATTAACTTTTATAACTCACATTTCTGAAACCAGCAGAATTATTTTAAAATGGAACTGAGTTATAACGGCTAGCTTATCTCTAAGGCTCAGATTTTGAAATGTATTTTTAAGCCATATCAGAATTCAAGAATAGAAAATCAGCTGATCTATTCTCCAACCTCCCATCAAGGGAAAAGGCAGCCCTCTACCTATACACTACCGGCAGTCTTAATTATAACCATAGCTTATCAAGCCAGGAAATTAAAAAAAAATACCAAAAAACAGCCTTAGTCATCAAGTCTCCGATATAAAATCACTTAACTGTATGCAGACGGTACTACTGGAAGTAAAGGGAAATTCATTTAGTTCTGCACCAAGATCCACACTGGGAATCCCCAACTCGCCCCCAAAGCATGAGTACTAAGGCTACTTGTTCTGTTTGGGAGTCCTGCCAGGCACCTGCTCCCAGGGTCTCCATCAGCACCCTTTCCCCTTCCTGAGGAGGTGCCCAGGGGTCCCGCTGGGGCACCTGCTCCCAGGGTCTCCATCAGCACCCCTTCCCCTTCCTGAGGAGGTGCCCAGGGGTCCTGCCAGGCACCTGCTCCCAGGGTCTCATCACCACCCCTTCCCCTTCCTGAGGAGGTGCCCAGGGGTCCTGCCAGGCACCTGCTCCCAGGGTCTCCATCACCACCCCTTCCCCTTCCTGAGGAGGTGCCCAGGGGTCCTGCCAGGCACCTGCTCCCAGGGTCTCCATCACCACCCCTTCCCCTTCCTGAGGAGGTGCCCAGGGGTCCTGCCAGGCACCTGCTCCCAGGGTCTCCATCAGCACCCCTTCCCCTTCCTGAGGAGGTGCCCAGGGGTCCTGCCAGGCACCTGCTCCCAGGGTCTCCATCAGCACCCCTTCCCCTTCCTGAGGAGGTGCCCAGGGGTCCTGCCAGGCACCTGCTCCCAGGGTCTCCATCAGCACCCCTTCCCCTTCCTGAGGAGGTGCCCACGGGTCCTGCCAGGCATCTACTCCCAGGGTCTCCATCAACACCCCCTTCCCCTTCCTAAGGAAGTGCCCACGGGTCCTGCCAGGCACCTGCTCCCAGGGTCTCCATCACCACCCCTTCCCCTTCCTGAGGAGGTGCCCAGGGGTCCTGCCAGGCACCTGCTCCCAGGGTCTCCATCACCACCCCTTCCCCTTCCTGAGGAGGTACCCAGGGAAAAGGAGAGACCAGCAGGCAAGCTTCAAGTCTTCAAAAGAAAAAACATATATTAACAAAACCTGAACACCTACCCTCTATTACTGGTGTGGGGAGTGTCTCAAAGCCGACTAACAAGATAATATTACTTCAGGCCAAGGACCTGTATATTAAGTAGTTAACCATTGCAACGCCAAAGCTTTACCAGTACCCAGTCTCTTTAAAATGTGGGAAGATATTTCAATACTAAAAGGCAATGGCACCTGCACCTTAAAACCAACACACTCGGAAACCAAACCCAGTCGTTTTTCTAGACATTTAACTTAGTATCCATTTCATAATCGAATGCTGGCAGTTAGGTCACTCTCCTCAGAGGTCTAACCTCCCCTCCCCTCGAGCAGAAATTTCCCTCTCTTCATTTCCCATTACCGACCCCCCCCCACCGCCGCCAGAGCGAAGAAGCAACCACTTCCCAAAGCCCCACTTCCTTTTCCATGCCTGAGACCTCCAGGGTTTCCAACGCCCTAGTCTTGCGCAACATCCGTAGGAGCAGCGGCCGCAACCACCACCGCCTCCCAAGCCGGGAAACAACCCCTAGAGGGAACATTGTCCAGCAGAAAAATAAAAGGGGCGGGGAAGGGGTGGGGGTTAATGTAAGGAAGTCGACTTCTGGTCCCACGCCTTCCAATCGGACCCCCTCACCGTGGTATCTAGGGCAATTTCACCGAGGCGACTTTTAACCCTCGCCTCCTCGGGTGCCCGTCTGCCCTAGCGGAGGGCGGAAAGGGGGGGAGGGCGCAGTGGGAAAGGGAGGCGGGAAAGGTTATCTCCCAGTTCAGGGCTCCGGCCGTCAGTCGCCTCCGCCCCATCAGGACTATTGTTCCCAAGTTCCCCACCCCCACCCCGGATAGGAAGTGCTGGTCACATCCCCTCGGCCTGCGCCAATATCCCCCTGGGGACTCCGAAGCCGGGGGCTTCCTTCGGCCGGACCCCCCAACCTACACTTTACCCCCACGTCCCCCTCCGATCTCAGCTCGCTCTGACCCCAAGACCACCTTAAAACCTGGGTCAGCTGGGGGAGCAGACGGGACCGACGTGGGTAAACGGGAAGAGGTGAAGCGACCGCCAAGATTTCCTTAAGGACAAGCTTTGAACCAACGCTGGAGGTAATCGCGAACCCCGAAACGGCACGATTACTACCAGGCTCCTTTGCAGGCAGTGGGATTGCCCCCTCGCCCCATGAGTAAATGCCAACCTCTGCACCCCTCCACCTCGGGCCCCGCTTTACGTGCCCGCCCGCAGCCAGACACGCTGCCCCGACCCTCTCCGGGTGGACTGCCAGAATAGGACTGCAAAGAAGAGCCCACCCCTCTCCAATCCTCCGCATCACCCCCGGCCTGCACCTCACCCGCCTCGGGCTCCCGGGCCTGAGAAAACAATAGGTGGTCGCGGCGGGGGCCCGGTGCAAGAGTCTGGGTTCTCCGGGGCCGCGCCCTGATCAACCCGGGGCGCCCGCAGGAGGACAGAGACGAGGCCGAGGGGAGAGGGTGGGTGAAGGAGCCCATCTCTCTCTCTCTCTCTCTCTCCTCCCACAGGGCCGGCGAGACCACCCGGCCCTCGGGGAGCTGCTGCTGCTGCTGCTGCTGCTGCACGCCCCGCACCTCATCGCTGCACACAAAGCACCCGGCGACCCGCGAAGAGGCGACACACACACACACACACAGCACACGCCACTCACCATGAAGTCCCGGGCGAAGTTATCTTCTCCATTGTGATCGGGACTCTTCATGGCCTGGACCCTCTGGATGAATTTCCTCAGGATCTCCACTTGCTCCATCCTCCCGCGTCCCCGGGGCTGCGGTCGCTGACCCCCACTACTCCTCCTCCTCCTCCTCCGTCGCCGCCCGCCCGCCCGGCGCACCGCCCGCTCGGTCTTCCCCAGTTCGCCTCCCCCCCACCCCGACTGCCAGTCTTCCTCTCCCGCCCGACCCCCGCCCAGCCCCGCCGCTCCCTCCTTCCTCCTCCTCCTCTTCCCCACCGCCCGAGGCGGCGGCTGCGTCGGTCCACCCCCCCACCGGCCCCGGATCCCGACACCACACAACTCCCTGGCTCTCCCCCCCACCGGACCGGGCGAGCCGCTGCGGGCTAGCGCCAACCCCCAACCCCGGCTTGATCCATCCTCCTTCCCCGCCCTCCCCTCCTCCTTCTGTCCGCCGCCGCCTCAGGAACACGGATCCCCCGCTCGCCCTGCCCTCCCTCTTCCCGGTTCTTCCTCCCTCCCACCCCCCACTCGCAGCCGCCGCCGCCGCCGCCGCCGCTCCCCACGGGCGCGCCCCCGTCGCCACCCAGACGCGCGCCCCCGCCGCCACCCAGACGCGCGGCCCCGCGCAGCCGGCTCCGCCCCGAGCGCGACGAGCGAGTTGGGGCGCCCGGGCCACGCCCCCGGGTCCTTCCCACCGTGTCGCTGACCTCACATCCGGGGCGTGGCCCACCCCGAGAGCCTCCTGGTGGGATGAAAGGCGCGAGTCTCAGGGCGTAGAGGGGTGAGGCCTGTGGGAAGAAAGGCATGCTGGGCAATGTAGTTCCCAGCCCGGTAGGTGGCAGGCGTCGGCGAGAAGGCGGGTGCCCGGTTCTCTCAGGCTTTGGCACCGGAAGGGCATAGCTACGGCTGAGAGGAGAGCCAAAGGTTTCTTGGGTGACAAGGCTGTTCCCTCTGCAGATCTGTTTAGATTCAGGTGAGTGCGCGCCTGGAATGCGAAGTGTGTCCTTCAGAGACCGAGTACTTGGTAAGCGCTACACTGTTTTCCAGAACGTCCGGGAATTCGTCCTCCTACGTTTGAATTCCCAGCACTTCAGAAAAAGCCAAAGGCTCTGAGGAATGGACTTTGTGGATAACGTCTCAGTAAATCGGGTTATCCGTCCTGGTCTGACGCCTCCTCTAATAAAGTGATTGGCCCAGGGTCCACCAGACATGACATTACCATATCCTGGCAGCTGTTTTCATTGGATATCAGAAAAAAAAAAAAAAAGCAGGATCCGGAGCTAAAACACCTCCCGGGATAACTCACTGTAGACACCCATTTCACCCTCGGAAAGGAGAGAAAAGTTAGACTACAAAGAAAGGGGTACACAATTAGGAGTTCCTCCACTTTTCGTTTGTGTGTTTTGTTTTGGTTTTTTTTTTTTTCACGTTAAGTCACACAGAGCTGTCACTTCATGCCCTGATTCTTCCAGCAGCTGCCAGCTGGGTCTGCCCTGGGTCCCCTCTCTCCCGCACACGAGTGAGGGGAAGACAATTGCTCGAACCTTCTTTCGGCCTCCCAGGAGGTACCTGAGCAGGAGCCAGAGCTGGGACTCGAACCCAGGCATTCTGTGGTGTCACTCAGGCACTAACCACCAGACCAAGGGCGCTTGTCCCTGTCTTCCATTTTGCAATATAATGCAATGATTTTTTTTTTTTTAAAAAAGATTATCTTGTATTTCAAAGGCAGATTTAAAGAGAGACAAAAACCTTCCAATCTGCTGGTTCGCTCCCCAAACGGCTGTGGTGACCTGGGCTGTGATGAAGCCAGAAGCCCCGAGCATCCTCTGGGTCTTGGGTGGCGGGGGACCTGGGGACTTGGGCCATTTTCTGGTGTTTTCCCAAGCCTGTTCGGCATCTCTGTTTTGTTTGACTTTCATTGGCAAGCCTCTTTCCTTCAACACTTGAGGGCTGCTCAAGCTCTCAGCACCTACCTCTGGCATCTACAACAAGTTAGGAAAAATTAAAGTGACCTCCGCAGTTTTCAACGCTTAGAGAGGCTTAGCCGTATTATCCTTGGTGCCGACCTTGTGTTTTCTTCTCAAAGTACATTTGGGTCTCGTTTCAATTTCCAGATTTTGTTTTTGAGCACCTCAAGATTTGAGAGGGGTTCTGTGTGCTTGCGAGGGATACACAAATTAGGGGTGGCTCCTTCTGAGCCAAATACAGCGTCGTTGAGGAGACAGGAAAACCAATAAACTCTGGGTCCTTTCAAGTTAATAGAGGCCAGATGAATGAGTGATTTAACAATTCTGGGAAGAGAGAATTGTGGATCAAGCCATCAGAACACAAGGGGGTCGTAAGAGTGGACCTTGAAGCATGAGTGGTGAACAGGAGGGAGAAAACCCACGAAAAGAAAGGCTGGGGGAGGGGAGGGCCTGCGAACAACAGTGCAGAAGTTGGAATAGAACTTTTTTTTTTAATAGGTGGGAAGGCTCTCAAATAGGCTGGACTCGAGTGTTTGCCCTGTCAAGGCTATGAAGGTGACACCACAGCAAGGGAAGCCACCAGAGGTTTCTGAAGGTAGAGGTAAAAATAGCGGGGGGGGGGGGGGAAATAACCATTTTTGGATAAATAATGACTTAATAGGAGGAGAGAGTGAGCTGAGGCAATTTCACAAGCCAAATACAAAAGCTAAGACGACTGGAAGTGCAAATACAAGGATATAGATGGAGTAAGGTATTTCAGAGGAACTGTGCAGGAGCTGGTGTTGGGGTGCAGCATGTTTAACTTGAAGTCGCTGCCTGCCCTGCTTCCCATTCAGCCACCTGCTAATGTGCCTGGGAGGCAATGGATGTGGTCCCAGGACCCAAATGGAAAATGCTGCTAGCTCACATCTGGTCCAGCCTGTGTTTATGGCATCATCTGGGAAGTAACCCAGCGAATGGAACGTATCTCCTCTCTCTCCCTCTCTGTCTGTTGCTCTGCTTTTCAAATAAATAATTATTTTAAATATTCTTGGGTTACAGAACAAGGTGGGGTGGCAGGGAAGGGACAGAGAGAGCACTTTCTTGTGCTGGTTCATTCCTTCATGGCTGGACCAGGTCGAATCCGGGAGCCCAGAGCTGCGTCCAGGCACTGGGTCATTTTCCACTGCTTTCCCAGACAGCTGGATACCAAGTGGAGCAACCAGAAATCAAACTGGCATCCATACGAGATCCAGGCAGCAATTTTGTCCTCTATACCATACCATTGGCCTCAGTAAATATAAATGTTTTAAAGAAGCTTAATCATTAGAAAGAGATTTTAGACTTGATTGCTTGTTTCATGTTCAACATCCCTTTTCCCTTTAGCTCAGGTACAAAATACTGTCAGGTCTGCAGAACTTTTCATTTGGGGCGTATTTTTACCTTTGTTCTCATAGAAGCTCCCTTTGTGTCGTTCACAACATTATAGCTTTGTGAGGGTTTTTCTTTTTTAAACCCTGGAAATGAATTTGGTAACTGCTGTCTTCATTAATACCCAAAAAACACAGGAAGTGAGCAAGATGAGCTCACTGGTAGGAAACAAATGTTAGACTCAGGGACAGAACCCACAGGCCTGAGTTTCCGGCTTGTTGCCTAAACCATCGAGTCGCAGCACTTTTATCCCTGGGGTAATTTGGTGAAGCTTCAGGTAAGATTGCAAATCACTGCTGAGATTCTGATGTAACCTGCTTCACTCTGTACCCTTCGGTCCTCTCGCCCCTCTGAACTGTGTCTTAGATGAACCCTCTCTGGGAGGTGGCGGGCACTGAAGAAGGGAGGGAAATTCTTCTTTAGTTATTATTGGTACTCTTTACTCCCTCATTCCTACCCTTAGTCACAGCGAAAAAACAAACAGACAACCTGCTGACCATTTCTTTACTCAGGTTTTTTTTACTTTTTTTTTTTTTTCCCTTAATCAAATACAATCCATCCAATTGGAACCTCGGGATAAGGCCTTAGGACAAAATCTTCTTCATAGAAACTTCCAGACCTTAGTATCTCCGTGTTCTTTTATATGCCATTCTCTTTTTCTTCTTAGAATTTCATTCCAGAAAAGGTTACTAGATATTAATCTTTCTATGCAACTCAAAATGTAAAGATCACAGGACCTCAACTTGGAGAAGTTATTTACCCAAGGTCACCCAAGTGGCAGACCTGGAGCCAAAAGTTCGATGCTACCACACTCCAGTGAGAACTTCAGAGTGTTACACAACAAAGGCTACCTGTATAAAACCAGTCACTACAGAAGAACACAGAGGGGACGTCCACCTTCCGCCTCTAACTTTCCTGTCTCATGTTTATTATGCTGTTTCATTTAACATTCAAAGAGAGATTAAAATTTTATAAATAGCTTCAAAGTCAAATTCTACCTGAACATCTAATTAGGGATCACTTAACACAAGGCTGGTCATCAGCAAGGGCTACGAAATATGTTACAGGGTTGAGATACCTTTGTAGTCCTGCCCGGCCCACCCTCCCCAGATACAGTAAAAATTCCTTTACTTGGAATTTTTATTGCTCCAACGCATGGGTAGCCTTACACTAAGGAGTGTCTTATACTTCTTATGTGTGTGTTTGGTTAAAAAAAAATAATAATATATGTATATATATAGTTGGAGCAGCAAGGATTTGAACTGGTACACACAGTTGGCAGCTTAAACTATGGCACCCTGATGCTGGGCATCGTTCATACCTTTTCTTTTTTTTAAGATGGGTTTGTTTTTATTTGAAAGGCGGAGTTCACAGCGCAGAAAGAAAAAGAGAGAGACCTTCCATCCACTGACTTACTCCCCAAATGGCTGCAACAGCCAGAGTTGGGTCAGTTTGAAGCCAACAGCCGGCAGCCAAGATCTTTTTCACAGTCTCCCTCATGGATGTAGCGGCCCAAGTACTTGGGCCATGCTTCCCTGCTTTCCAAGGCCATAGCAGGGAGCTGGAGCAGCTAGGAATTGAACCCACACCCATATGAGATACTGGCACTGCAAGCAGAGGCTTAACATGCTATGTCATGGTACAAACCCTGCTCCTGAGTGATTTGAACATTACGTATAGAACTGTAGTTTGTCCAAGCAGAACCCTCCATTAACTGTTCTCCAATATTAAAAGAGCAAGAAAGACTATACGAAATTAGATATAATATCAGAGTTTGAAAAACTCAATCTAGCACAATTTCCTGGAATTTTTTAACTTAAAAAAATGATGTGACAAATTGATTACACCATGCCTAAGATATTATATAATTTATATTATCACATAAATAGCAAAGATAAAATCCATGATAATTTTTTATCAAATCAAATCATTTTTCCAGAAAAATGTTTCATTATATTTAAGATATAAAATGGTACAGCCAGAATCCCAAAGTTTTAAAGGTGCATTGGATGATGAAATAACTCTATAGGATTATTGAGAATATTGAAAATTACTGTTGACTGATCCGAACTAATAACACTTTTGAATTTTGTTTTCTCTGCGTTCTTTGGGGAACTCTGTGTAAAACTTGCAAAGTTCTATTCTGCTGCTTCATGATTACCGCTTTGCTCTGGCTTGGTCCAAGCTACTGTCATCTCTCACATGCCTTTGATAATGGCCTCCTAACTGGCCTCCGCGTCCCACCCTACTTGCTTCTGCCACGGAAGGTCAGGAAGTTTGCTTTCAGAATGTGTTGCTGATCTCACTCCTCTGCTCAGAGCTTGGCAGTGACTTCCTGTGTCACAAGGGGATGGCCTGCAGTGTGCTCTGGGCTCCCTACATTATGGGATGGAATTGTGGGGAGAGCGTTTTTTGTTGGTTTCTTTTTTATGCTGCCATGATTGAGTAGCGTTGAATGTAGCTAGGGCCAGGAGGCTCCACCATCCTACACGTTCTGTCCTTGTGAAGAATTGTCTCTCGTCTTGCGTGGCTGGCTTTTTTAAGATCAACTTTTGAAGTGTAATTTGTAACAATAAAATTCATTCAAGTGTGCAGTCTGATGAGTGATGACTAAGGTATTCACCCATAAAATCACCATTAACCGTCAAAATCTGAATCATTTTCATCACCGCAAAAAAAAAAAAAGTTCTCTTGTGTGCCTTTGGTGTGATTTCTGAACAAGTCTTGGGATCTTCCCAGAGGTGTTTGTGATGACCTGCTTTTTAATCATCTGAGCCTAACTCCATTTTCTATGTAAACTGTTTTAGCAGGGTTTTAATATACGCTTGATTTTCCAGAAAGGCAACCAGAATATACATTAAGGAAAGATTTTTGTTGTTGCTGTTCAGAATTTTACCAGAGGTTTCACGGTTTGGAAAAATGACGGCAGAGATGACATCAGCCTCACGCTTTGTGGCATTTGAGACTAAGAAGTCGGTGCTGTAGTAGCTTGTGCTTTGTAGCCGTCGTGGTGATGGTGATTTTGCATAGAGGTGCAGACACATATTTCATCTTGTCTTTTGGGGTGTTCGTGTGTGTGCATTTACAGATGGAAATAGATAAAGTCATTTCATTTAGGTATCTGCTTAGATTAGATTACCTGATAGTAAGGGAAGAGTCTGAAACATGTGTTGAAAAGGGGACACTAGACTCTAGAAGCTCAGCCCTACGCATTCTGACCCAGCCCCTGGCTGCCAATAAGCCTGGAGCTCAGTAGACAGTTTGCTCTTGCTCTGGCCACTCGAGCTGCTGGCTTTCCTGCTGTGTCGTGTGTTTGTCTGTGAATGTCCACCTCTGGCCCTCTGTGTGTGCTGTGTGTCCCTCTTTGAGCATGCGCTCTCCCCAGGCATCCGCATGCCTCACTTTTGCCCCCTTTTCAGGTCTTTGCTTCAATGCTATCTTCCCGAGGAGGGTTGCCTGCTTTCTCAGATAGAACTCACTGCTTGAGGCCCAGCATGATGCCCTAGTGGCTAAAGTCCTTGCCTTGCATATGCCAGGATCCCATAAGGGTACCAGTTCATATGCTGGCTACTCCACTTTTGATCCAGCTCCCTGTTTGTGGCCTAGGAAAGCAGTAGAGCATGGGTCAAAGCCTTGGGACCCTTTACCCCGGTGGGAGTCTTGGAAGAAGCTCCTGGCTTTGAATCAGCTCAGTTCCAGCTGTTGTGGATATTTAGACAAGGACCAGCAGGTGAAGGATCTATCTCAAGTCCTTGCCTTTCATGCGCCGGGATCCCAAATGGGCACTGGTTCTAATCCCAGCTGCTCCACTTTCCCAGCTCCCTTCTTGGGACCCTGCACCCACATAGGAGACATGGAGAAGTTCCTGGTTCCTGACTTCAGATCAGCTCAGCTCTAGCCACTTGGGGAGTGAACAGCAGACATAAGATCTTTTTTGTTTCTCCTGTTCTCTGTATATCTGCCTTTGGGATAAAAAAAAAAATAAATAAATCTTATAAAGGAGGGCTACGTCTTATTAGTTGTTGTATTTCCAGTTCTATGCTTGATGCCTACAGCTACGTAATAACTATCAGCTGAATAAAGGATTATCTGCCTGCCAAGCAGGATGTTCTGTTAAATAAGTGAATCATTTTTCTATAATCCTGCTTATGCCACTGATCTGGTTTTGTTCAGGGATTGCTCAGGTAGAGT